TTATTCTTTTCGCCTTAAAAACACTGTTGAGAAAATTTAGCTTAGGGTGGATAATTAGAGTTACTATTAAAGCAAGAGAAAAAAAAAATGTTTGTTTCATGAAAAGTTAAAAAATAATTATTATTTTACAATAATTTTAAATAAAAAATATAATTATTTCGTAACAAATAGAGTGTATGCAGCGTGGAGCACTACACTAACCAAAACAAGGAAGTGAACCAAATCGCTTTCAATGGCGACCACCATAACTCCCCGGCCTCATTGGACAGACTTTTGACACCCAGCTGCCACCCAATTATTTGTTACCACTTATTAGACAAGCCTTTTTTATATAAATTAGGATTCCAATCCAAATGAACACCTTGATGGACTGAAAATAGAAGAAAATTATTACTACTACCAATAGTAATATACTGTAGTAGAAGAAAATGGAAACCATGTATTGAAGTAATTAAAAAATTAATTGCTGAAATGATTATTACAACAATCAAGAAAAATAAAAACCACCTACGAAAAATGGCACAACAGAACAATCTCGCAATTTAAGAAGAAACACATGCATGTTGGGTTCGGATGATGCACAACACAGTATACAATGATTAGTCCTCTAGCTCAATGAAACATGAAAACCTTTGATCAATCATGGGGTCTGCACATTTGAATCTTTAGATTTATTATCTTCAGAAGATGGTCGGTTCTCTGTGTCAGCTTGCCGGACTTCTTCAATCAGTCTAACGACTTCATCCATGTTTGGTCGCATTTCTGGAACCTTAGCAACACAAGACATGGCAATTTGCAACATCTGCACCATCTCTTCTTCAATGTTTTGGAACCTCATCAACTCAACATCAAAGACCTCGGCTGTCCATTCTTCCCTAACGACAGACTGAACCCACCTAGGGAGGTCGACCATGTCATCACGTGTTGGTGACTGAAGTGGGGCTTTTCCAGTTAGCATCTCGAGGAGGAGGACACCAAAGCTGTACACATCTGACTTATGAGTGTGCTTCCGGGTTTCAATCACCTCTGGAGCACGATAGCCCACATTCCGAGATGGAGTAGCAGGGACATTCATGAGAGGTGTCAAGCCCAAATCAGTAACGCAACCATCAAGATCTTGGTTTAGGAGAACATTTGAGGACTTGATATTTCCATGAGTAAATTTTGGACCACCAACAGAATGGATGTGAGCAATTCCTCTGGCAGCTCCAAGAGAGATTTTTACTCTGGTTTCCCAGTCAAGTGGGGTCCTCCCACCCGCTTTGTTCCCTGTCATCATCTCAAATTGAGCATGTGATATATTAAGAGAAACCTTAATTTACCAAAAAGAGTTGGATATCAGAGATGTATAGATAATAGGTACTTGAAGGAACATCCTTAATAAAGTTAAGATGGTGCTTTTGTCAAGTAAATTGGTGTGTATCCAGCTTCTATTACAAACTCAGCTGTCTAGCAATGCATGTCCTGTCTATTTTCAGGTTTCAACCAACAACCGAGAAAAGATAGCCAGACAAACATGCATGCTTAAGGAATATTTGAGGAGGAAAAAGTCAAGTGTACAAGCAACATGTAAATTTGCTTAGTCTCTGTAGCCTAATACAGAAAACCTAGTCATATGCCGCTCAATTGTCCATATTGAAGATAAATATCTTGTAGGGAAACAGACAATAATATCCTGATTCTTTCTTGAATAGTTTTCTCTTCCACAAGCAATTGCATAATTTACAATGTCAAGATGCATCCCCAGCAGGAAATATTTGTGATGCTAAAACTAATTCATCTCAGAGGGGAATGAAAAGAACAATCCTTCCACTTATAGAAATAATAATTTGTTATAGAAAAGATGGAAAAGCACGTTCAGTTTCATGAGTGATTGATTTCTAGAATCATGTCTTCTAAACATGTGATGTGATTGATCTCATGATGACTTCCCTTAGAGACTAAGGGCCTAATGTTTCAAAACCAAATTCAAAATAAAAATTAATAGAGGTAAAAAACAAAGGGGGGGGGGGGGGGGGGTGGAGGAGGGGGCAAGAAAAGAAGAGATAGTATACCATGCAAGACTGTGGATAAGCTGCCACCTGTGATGTAGTCATAAACCAATAGCTTCTCATCCTTCGAGTAATAATAAGCACGGAGTGGCACAACATTCTGGTGTTGTCCAACTCTTCCTATCATCTCCATCTGCTGCTCAAAATCCTTCTTCCCCAGAACCACTTCCTTCAACCTTTTGACTACCACTGTTGTCGACTCCTCCAAGACAGCCTTATATGCTGTGCCGTAACTACCCTTTCCCAGCACTTCAGCTGAAGCCCTCAATAAATCCTCAAGGTCAAAATTGTAAGAACAACCTTCAAAGAAAACCAGCTTATTTTTCTCAGGCTCTTGCACCCCACTTCCAAACTCTTCTTTTGGCTTCTCAGTTCTGCCACCACTAGAAGTTTTTCCTTTTGAAGCACCACTGCCCCTGTCATCCTTTTTCTTCAAACAGCAGCATAAGATAACCAAAGCTAAAAGAAACAGCATCACAGCCCCTCCAGCTGCAATGGCAATGATGACACCTAAACTCAATTTCTTTTTGGAGCCCGGTTTCAGAGGGAGCACTGGTGGGGGTGGAGAGTATGCCGGAGATGGGGGAAGGTTAGGGGAGCAAGGCTGCAGAGGTGGTCCACACAAATGTAAATTTCCTACAAAGGATGCATTAGGAAATCCTTTAAGAGATGATGGAATCGATCCATTAAGCTGGTTGTAGCTTAAATTTAAATGCTTGAGCCCAGGAAGTTTAAGATCAGGTATTGATCCTGATAGATTGTTTTCCTGAAGGCTCAATCCAGTGAGTAATGTCAAATTTTGCACTGTTTCTGGAATGTTGCCTGTGAAGGAATTGAATGAAAGATCCAATACATTTAGTTGATGGGAAAAGTTGGCAGGAAGGTCACCAGAGAAGTTATTATGTTGGAGATAGAGATGGCTGAGGGATGGAAGGGAGGTAACATCGGAAGGAAGAGCACCATTCAGGAGATTGGATCGAAGGCTGAGAGTTGTAAGGGCATCTAGTTTACCAAGGGTGTTGGGGGGGATTTGACCAATGAGTCCAACTCCAGGAAGCCGAAGTTTTTGCACATGAGTACCATCTTTAGTGCAAGTGATACCCACCCAAGATGTGCATACTGGGTTGGTTGAGTTCCAGTTAAGCTTGCGACGATGTGGAACAGCAGCAGCAAAGTTAAGAAGGGATTGCTTATCTGACTCTAGGTCTGCAATAGCTATTGGAAGGAAAATGACTATGTTGAGAAGGAAAACAAACACAGCAGTCAAGCAGAACTTCATGGGGAGTTCTCTGGTGCAGGTAATTTGGCTATGGCTTCAGTAATTAAAAAAAATCATCGGTAGATCCTGTTATTTTCCTGCTTCTGCACAATACACCACATTAGGCAGCCTGCAAGACAAAGGAATGGATATGAAGCAAAAAAACGGCAACCTATTCCAATTCCATAGCAAGGAAACAAATGAGAACACATAATTCAGATTACTTGGAAGAAAGAATTTTGACATGTCTGGCAATTGGACCATGTATGTGCTTGAAAGGCCATTGAATCTAAAGCCTAGTGCCAAAAAAAGGACTCAAAGCAGCTTTATTCTTCATAGGGTGAACCCACCAATTACTGCTGCTGTTACAAGGAGGCAGCATCTACATTTGAGAGCTCTGGTGAAGAAAGATTACACCCATGACTATGAGCCTTGCCCTTGAATGGAAGAAGAGAGGGGTACAAAGTTTGCTGGAATTTTTTCATACCTAGGAACCACCAAGAAGAAGAATTTCTTTGATTCCTTCCATTTTTTCAAACCTTAGGAGATTGAAGCGTGGCCCAGAAGAATATATATAAATGTTTTTTCAAATACATTGCAAGAAAGTGGAAATTTCCAGTCTCTTCAATAACAATATCCAGTGTAGAATTTAATTAAAAACTTGAAAAAACAAAAGCTAGTGCCATCAAAAAGCAGGATGCAAAGGCATTGGGAATAAAGCTAAAGGGACACTGCCTTTATCTTTATTTTTATTTTTATTTTTTGTTAACTACATTTTGAGGCCGCCTCAGAAAGAAGAGGGGAAAAAAATTTTTCCTAATCTTATTAGTCATTGGGTCAGGTGGATGAGAAGGAAAAAGTGGAAAAGGGATCTTAAAAACAAAAAATTGGAGACCAGGAATGCAATTATATCAAGCTTTCCCACGAAAAAGCTACTACTAAGCTGTCTTAAAAATGACAACAAAAATCCACAATTTTGAAAAGTTTTAAGTGGTTTTCTGAGTGATTGCAAAAAAAAAAAAAAAAAAAAATGGAGACTAAATTATCTATAGCTAGAGAGAAGATACAGAAGTCTGAAAGGGGGTGGTTGAACAACCAAAGTTGCATCTTGCAGAGAAGAAATGTAGAACTTGACGACAAATCTTTCCCTGAGATCTAAAGACTGAAGCAACCTTCCTTCCTTCTTTTTTAAAACAAAAAAAAAAGAAAAAAAAAAAAAGAAGAAGTAAACTTTATATATGTTCTACACAGTACACACGAAACCCACAAATTGACAACCTCATTTGGCTCAAAAAGAGAGGAATAAATAAAATAAATATAGAGTTGGGATCAAAATCCCAAACATTCCCCACAATGTGCTAGATCCAGAAGCTCATTTATATGAGAATAAAAATTGTAGGTTAACAATTAAAAGATGGAATATTCATGTGTAAAGCAAGCTAAAGAGCAGGTGCAGAAGAAAACCTGCGAGGTTGGAGGAAGAGGAACACGGCAGCATCCAAGTCCAAGCCGTTGGAGTTATAAGCTGAAGTTGCTAATCCCGTGAATGGCGTCTGCGAGAGGAGATTCAGATCCAGAAATGGGAAGGCTGAGGAAGTGAGCGAGGTCAGCATTCACAATATAGCATTTATTGAAAACAACAAAACCCCTGGAAGAGAAGGTAATTGTTGGGTCTTAAATAGAAATTTGTGGGTTTGATTTTCTCAGAAGAAAAATAAATTCTTGTTTATATATATATATATATATATATAAGAAACTAATGATGATGACAAACAGGAAGAAGAAGAAGAAGAAGAAGAAGAAGAAGAAGAGGAGCTTCAGTCCCACAGAAAGATGTCTTTTTCAAAATTATTATAAAAAAAAAAATGTACATTAGTGTATCTGAGCCCTTACTTTTTACTCTCAGTCACAGCTCTATCCTTTGATTTTCTTCCACTTTACAACTAAATCCTCCTAAACGAAAAGCAGTGATCTTTAAAGCGTGATGAATAAAGCGCTTTTTTTCAAAAAAAAAAAAAAGAGAGAGAGAAAAAGGAGCAAATGGGTTTTGTTTGGCAAAAACTTCTTAAGCCCTAAACTTATCTCAAAATAACATTTAAACCTCTAAATTATAAATGAAGTAGATAAGTCCTCTAACTCTACTAATGATGCAAATAAATCCTTCTCACAAATAGGCCTAATGATATTTCATGTTTAATATAATCTTGAAAGCAAGAACACCCAAAAATAAGAAGGGTTTACTGCATCATTAGTGGAATTAAAGGATTTATCTGCTTTGTTTTTAGTTTAGGAGCTTAAATTCTATTTTTGGATAAATTTAAGGGCTTACAAATTTTGTGTACTTTTCAAGATATTTATTAGTATAATAATACTTACCGTATATGCTTTTGTTTTGGGGCACATCTAACAATAAACTTTTCTTTGGAATTGCATTCGATGTTGAAGTTTGAAGAGATACTTGTACTCCGTAGTAGTAGTATATACGAACTCAATACTTGATTTCTTTTTCTTCTTTTTTTTTTTTTTGGATTTTGATGAGATACAATCTTGAATTTAATTGGACTAAGTTCTGGGATTTTAATGGAGAAAGAAACTGAAGGGGGATAGCTTTAAATTTTCTCCGTATAATTCAACTACCCCACCAACTCCACCAAACCCACGCAAGGTCTAGTAGTACTCCGTGTGTCTAAACTCCCAATTGTCATAGAATTACAACTTCGGAATATAAATATCCACATAATCATTTCTTTATCTATTATTTAGGGAAAATTTAATTTTAAAATACATAAAAACTAAATCAAAGATACCTCATCATAAGTCCTAACTTTCCTTCATTTCGTGTACCCATATCCCATTCCAATTGCTATAATTAAAATTTTCAAATGAGTAAATAAAATTTTTACTTATTTCTTATACATGGCTATAACATGTATAAGAAATGAGTAAAAAAGTCAGAAAAGAAGAGAGGGTGGAGTGGAGAGGACAAGAACAGCTGAACCGAGTAGGTAAAATATAGAAGTATGAATTATTGTCCGTGACTTAATGTTGTTTTTGTCCAACCGAATCATTCTCTGTTGCAGAACAAATATTATTATTCCTATCATTATTAATAATTAATGAAATGGGATCGGATCGTATTAGAGTTGAAAACTGTCAACATCTATTGTTTGATTTAGTTAAACAAGTTTGGATTTTGGCCGCACATTAATTCTGCTCCAAATAAGGTATATCTCTATCCCCTAAAGCATAAAGGGTGGAAGTTGCGTTTGCAATTACAGTGTTTTTGTGCAGACAAGTTTTGGCTTTTGGGACTGCCTTCTGCAATAAGTTCTAGTTAGTTTATTTGGGTTGTTACTCGCAACTCGTGGGTATGCCCATGTTGTATTTTGTATCACTACATACCCCCTAGATGATTGAGGTCCAATTTTTTCTCCTTTTTTTTGAATAGAGATTGAGGGAGATTTTAGAATGTAATACTCGTCATTTTCTATGAAAAAAATAAATTGCAGAATTAAATTTTGAAATAAAAAAAATAGTAATTATTTCTTGGTTGGTATGATTAGTTACAGTTTTTACTTTCAAACTTTGTAAATGGAATAGAGTCAAGGGGACAAAAGTCACATGGTAGGGCTGGCTCAAAAATTGAAAAAATAAAAATAAAAATTAAATTGAATTGAATTGAATTGATGAAGCACATGAATGCAGTCCGTTTACAAATTAGGTGGTGGGTGGAGTAGGACCTTCTTCTTTTATGTCAGTCAAAGCAAAAGGTTGAGGAGTCTGATTTCACATCATTCAAAAGAAAAGGACCCATATATGCCCATACCAAATGTAAATTTCCATTCAAATTAACCCTGCTGAGGGCCTGAAACGGTAATAATTAGATAAGTTTCAAAATGGTCCTGGCTTGAAAGTGAAAAGACCGTCTCCTCACACTCTTGTTTGCCCACCTTTGACCTAACAGCACAGCCCTCTTCGTATTTTTTCTTTTGTTCTTTTCTTTTGACAAATCTTATTCAACAGATTCCGCATCATAAGCATATTTTGTTGGTGCATATTTTATTTATACCAACAGAATGCCTCCAAATCCAAATTCAGAAATAACAGAGCCCATAAAATAAATACCCCCTGTACCTGTTGCGATCAAAGATCAACATCCAAATTTTTATTTTTGGTCTTATTATTTTAACAAAGAAAAATTTGTAGTCACTTAAAGAAACTCATTTTTAGTTTGAAAGTTTATTATTTAATTTACTTTTAATCTTTCTATTATTTTTTATACACATAATTCATTAAATGATGCATTAAATGACAAATTTAAAGTAAAGAAAATTAAAAAAATTAAAAAACCTTCTTTTTAATCCATTTACTTTAAAAAACTTAATCTTACTCTTATTATTTTAAAATTCCTATCATCTAATCTAACATGTCACGTGAACGAAAATTAACAAGAGAAAACTAAGATAAAGCCAAATGTAAACTTTAAAAACTAAAAAAAAAAATA